ATAAAATCATTTTGCCTTGACCTCACCACTCAGACACAATGGCAATAGCTGCTATATATAAATCTTAGATGCTCTTCAGCTTTTCTCTACCAAATCATATTTATTTTAACTCAGAAAGGCTAGTAGTAAAAGAAGTTGGGGGATATTTTATTTACACAATGATAAATTAACCTGTGGATGGTTTCTCTAAGGGTAGCCCTAGGAATGACAAGGATGTAGAGGGATCCAGATGGACTTTTTGACCTCTTTTGTTAAAGCTCCCTCCATGGCATTTCTTGGCCTTTTTCAAAGCTAAAAGGTTGGAGGACACAAAGCTTTATTCTCACATTTTAGTCTTGAGGCTAGAAAAGCTTCTGCACTCGTGCCCTAGCAATGTTTGCCTCCAGTAAGTCTGAAGTATGCTGGGCAGCTGTAGAAGGAAGGAGAAAAACAAAAAAGCCTTGTGTCTGAAGCATTTGTGTTTGTGTGCATCCTACCCTGTACAGCTGGTCTGACTCAGCTCTGAGAAGATGCTGTGCAGCTGTTTCTCTGGAGCAATACCTGTGGGCAAACAACAGCAGAGTCCAACATCTATGTACATCTTCCTGATCTCCAGAGTTCATTTTGTCCCTGCTCTGTCATCTTTAATCATGAAAGCATTAGGCTTTTTCTTACTGGATATTCATGCACATATGTTCAGAACTTACAGAGACAATCAGCCATTGTTCCAGTTTTCCTATTGATGTTTTTCTTGCAAATCAGAGCCCAGGGACTGGCCACAAGCCCAAATCCCATCTTTTCAAAACTGATTACTTCTTTGCTGGGACACTGTTTGCTCTACTGCAATTGTCTAAGACCGGGTTTGGCTGGTGCAAACCTACTTCATCTCCTCTGGAAGCGAAGGCAGGATTTATCCTATGTACTGTACAGCTCTGGCAAGTCAAAGCAGATGAAATGCCCCCCACTCTGGAGTAACTCTGCTGCTGGCTAGAAAAAGTGGCCCCAAGTCCAAAGTGGCAGTAGCAGCTTGAAGAAGCTCACAGAAGGGGAATCTAGAGACTAAACCATCTCATTCCAGCTCTGATGAGCTCATTCAGCTGGAAAGGCAAAACAAAACAAAATATGCATGCATTCCTGTCTGGATATGGTACCACAAGGCAGCTAGGCACTGAGATACAATGCAAATGGAAATAATTAAGTACTGGAACAGAATAGCATAGATATCACTAGGAACTATCACAGGAAATTTCTGAGGAAAAATTAATGACTCTCCAATGTCCTGAGATTTGCTGTTCTAAAATAATGAAACAATTCCCACAGAATAAATGGAATAAATGCTAAAGTAGAGTGGAATAATGGTAAAATATTTTGCACACTAGGAAGCTACAAAATGTCTAAAGTAATAGATTTTTAAATGGTTGAAATGTGGGGAAAGGAAACCTTGTGGCAAATGAACTTCGGGAGGAAGAGCAGCAGAACCCAGTTGGCTCCATGGCAGTAGGAGATGGCCATGACCCCATTTCAAGCTGAATGCCATATGGCTCAGAAATAAGTGGAAATAAATGACCAAGTCATTAGGATCCCAGTGGGGCATGCAGCAATCTCAAATGGCAGCTGATCCCCCACAGTTTTACCCATGATCTTGTCCACTGCTGGGAAGAAGCAAACACTGTGGCAGTGCCACGCTGCGCCTCCCTGCACCTTTCACACACAGGCGTGTGCACACACATGCACATATGTGCACGTTTTAATAGACACGTGTCTATTAAAACATTCTAGCAAGAACCTCTAGGCTTAGTGTGAATTAGAGAGGTTCTTATAAAGATTCTATCAGAAGGGAAATAGGGATGAAACATCACAGGAAGCTCATTGCTGTGCATGAGTGCAGAATAGCAGGTGGGAATTCTGTTTGCCAGGCATGCCCACAGAATACCTCTGCCTCTCCCCATCCCAAATGGCAAGGTGAGAGACAAGTAATACAAGCTCCTTTTGCCTTTCCAAAGAACATTATGATAGCTTTTTTAGTCAGATTTTGCCACAGTTCTTGTATTTCTAAGGATTGTTTTTCTAACGAGGCAAGAAAGGTCAAAAGAAATTAATAGCCAAGATAAGAGTTATCAGTCTGATATAAAAAAAGCAGTGTATAACGTTTGCAATACACTACAATCTACAACTGATAAAGGAGTCTAAAGCCAAATGAGGGTTTAAAAGGAAGCTGATATTGGAAATATCTACTCTCTAATTTCTCTTTTTAACCAGATGACTGGGTTGCAGTTGCTGTTTGTAGCTGTCGCTGCTGAAGCCAGTGTCACCACTGAAGCCTAGAGTAAGGACATTACTCACCCAGCATGGCTCAGCCTCTCCACAGGATCCAAACAGGGCTCAGATGAGATCCAAAAGCCTCATCCACATCCTCATACAATTGGGACTGTGTTTTAATCCTGTGATACCTTAGTGCCAGTAACCCCTGCATAAGAGGTATGCTACAAAGATCTCCCTTGCCCACGCAGTTGCTTTTGTGTTCTTCCCAGGACCCTTCATATTAACACTGCAGACAGCTCCATCACTATGTGTATGTTGCCTTTGTAACTCTCCAGACATCTGTATTCCTGTTTTGTGCTTGTTTCAAAATGTCAGAATGGCTGCTTCCTCCTGTGATTGTGACACTGAAATAATTTTACTAATTCTGCCTAAATTCCCTTGGGAACCTGCTTCAGCGAGGTACAAATCATGTGTGTATTAAGTTATATGCAACATACACACTCCCCTAAGCCTCTTTTGAGGTGCCTCTGGAGCTTGAAGAAGCTAAAGGCAGGAGCTGAAGCACCACAAGTGTGTGTCAGGCATGAGCCATTCCTGCTGATTAGAAGCTATCCCAGGTGATGTGTTTTCATATCAGTCATTTTCAGGACCCTAATTTACCCCCATTAATGTCATAGGAACTAAACTTTGCGTTCCAAGCAAAGAGCTAGACAACTAGAAATGTACAGTGAAATCTACAGTGCCACAGGATCTGATTTCCATTGCTGAAGATCGTCATGGGAGCTTGTTCTCACAAGCTGTGTTTTAGTAAAAGGGGTCAGAAGTGCCAGTATAATTTCTATCACTTTAAAAAACTTTGGCTCTCCACTAGTCCTATGAGTTTTTTAACCCATTTGGCAAAATCAGTGATGTACATATATGACCTGGTTTCAGCTGGGATAGAGTTAATTTCTTCTCAGTAGCTGGTACAGTGCTGTGTTTTTGGATTTAGTATGAGAATAATGTTGATAACACACTGATGTTTTGAGGTTTTTTTATTAAACTGCTCTTATCTCAACATACAAGTTTTAGTTTTGATTCTCCTCCCCATTCCACTGGGCTAGGAGTGGGGGAGGTGAGCAAGTGGCTGTGTGGTGCTTAGTTGCCAGCTGGGCTTAAACCATGACAGCATACCAGCATAATTTTTGTTTTAATTGGTTTAGGCTCATTTCCTTCAAGATATTAAATCTTTTCCACAAGCAGCTTTCTTCTCTGATGGATATTTTTCCACAGTAAATCATTCATTCACTGTGGCATACACTTCCAGACTCCTCTTAGATACATTCTATGGGTTGGATTCGGGGTTTTTCCTTATATTTTCCGTCCCAAGCTTTAGGATCATGAAATGTTTCCAGTGATCACAAGATGCCTTTTTTTTTTTTTTTTGACACATCTTTATTTGCAACAGTAGTGTGAGATACAGTAGAATACATGTGGGAACCAGATAATCATGTATTATTTTATAGTGAATTTTTCAGTAGATTATTCCAAATGTTACATATGGAAATTTTAAGTCCTATTACATTAGTTCTGATATCATGATGACTAAGCACTTAAAAAATAAGCATTCTTGTGGAAAAATCCATATACACAGTTTGCTTTACCTCATTTGTCCTAAATTTCAGTCTGCAACAGGATGACTTAGATCAATAGGAGTGGGTAGCAAATACTTCAGTCTATATTTACATATTGTCTATTTAGAAAGTCCTTGAGAAACTCAGATACACACAGGATGAACTGAGATACAAAAAATTGTGCATGGTGTTTTCACCTCTCACATTGAAAAGAAAGACTCACAATGTAAATTCTCATATAATTTAATATGATTAAAAATATTGGATGGTGTATAATATCCTGAATGTGTTACACAGCCACCAGGTAAGATGTTTCAGAGCACAGCAGCAGCTGCTCTGCCATCAAGCACCAGAAAGGTAGATGGCCATCTAGCTTTCGAAGCACATAATGTGGTGATTACTAATAATCAGAAATAAAGCGCGTTTTGAAAAGCTGATATGCAAATACATGTGACAAGCCTAAACAAGACATGAGATGAATCTCACTCCTACTTCCACTGAAAGGTGGAACACTTCAACAGAAGGGTTATCATGACAACTTGAATGCTGCAGAGGTTTTGTTTTTTTTTGTTTTTTTCCTGAGAATAGTTAGAATCTGGGTGATGAGCTCCTCAGAGTACACACACCCCAAAAAGGTATTTGTGTGCTTCAATGGAATCACCCTTAGCTTCCATGCTTTCTTTTCTGAAATCAAACCCAGTGACTTAATATTATGAAGGTGCTTGTTAAAGTGCAGATATAGCATTGAAAACACTCGTGCCATCAAGGAGGAGTGAGTCTCATCCAATTTTTGGGGCCCCAAAATGATGATAGACCTGCCAGTCTTCCTGTGACATCCATCCATCATCATAAACAAAAAACATTTCCTACCAAAACCAAGAAATGTTCTAAGAGCGCATCAAGTATGAGGTGCAATATAGAGCTGAAGAGCTTTAGAACACAAATCTCACTCAAACAGTATCAAAGTACATGTTTTTAAAAAAATACTGATGCAAAAGTATCTTGAACCCATAAAAAGGTCATGCTAGTCTATTATTTAACCAAGTATGCCTACTGTACAGTGATGACACCATTGCAAGACAGCCTAGAGGGGAACATACCCCTCTGCTAAACTAAGTCCTAATAGATACTGAAGAGTGATGATCCTTTATATGAATGGTGATGTCTTGCGGTGGGGCAGAAACACCTGTGATTACAGCCACTCCTAAAGATTTACTTTAGGGTGGGTCATAAACCTCAAGTTGAATGCATCTTCTTCCAAAATTAAGTATATTGCTGAAAGTCTCAGATTTTAGAAAAAACACAGCGAAGTGTGTGAGAGAAGCCATCGGACCCCAAAAAAGCTCAGGATCATTTCCACTGTAGCCAATGTGACAAACTCCTCCACAAGTTTTAATCTGTGGGATCAGCAGCAGACCTACCGCACGTTGCTTACCTGCTAATGTCTAATGTCTATGGCATGGCATCAACCTTTACTGTCTGGTGGCCTCTATTTTAGCATCCCTTCTTTTCCCTGCTCTTTTCAGAAGTCTCAGGATCTTATCCTCAATAAGGAGTTTGGCTGGTTCTGAGTGTTTACCACAGTCCATTAATAAAGAAGGTTTCAGGAGAAAGATCCTCCTAACAGAGGTGGCTGGTGCTATGCTCACATTATGCTCACCTCAGCAGCAGAATCAGGCTGGGTGAGGAAAACACACATCAAGCCATTTGTGTAAAGGACCCTTAAGCATAAAACAAATCACAGCTTCTTATTTAAATAACACAGTACCATGCAAAATTCACAAATTAAGGAGTGTCTTTAAATAAAAAAAATGCAAACCTTTGCTTAAAAATCCACCAATTCTATGTGTATTACTCTTCACCTTTTTAAGCCATGCAAAAGGTTTAACCAAAATGTCCCTTTAACAAATACAGATTGGAACTATATAAAAAAATAAAGCCCAACTAAATGCCTAGACAAATGCCCCAATGAGTTTTGATCTTTCTCATTGAATCTCTTTATCATGGTATTTATCCATCTGAGCAGAGGTCTAACACCACACCTGTGCTGCCCTTCCCTTGGGAGACTTAGTCCTTGCTGTGGGAAGGAGCTCTTATCTGCAATTTGACATTGTCCACTGCAGGTCCCCAGCCACACCCAACTGCAAATGCATGAAGGAGTCATGAATCTCGTGCTCAGTGCAGGGAACTTGCACCACACTAGCAGGGTTTAAGACAAGAAAAATGTGAAACTTGAAAAAGGACATGCTGGGATGATACAACATATCCCTGCAAGCTGGGATACTAGAATTGCCATGGGATCATAGTGCACAGATTTGAGGGTTGTAGTCATTTATTATAATTAGAAACATCTAATTCCCTGTGATAAAGATTGCATGTAGAGTATGTCAAAGAACAGATGAGGCTAATACAGCCCACAGTCAGGACTAATACTTTTTTTTCTCTCTTATTGCTAAATAAGACCTATATAATTACAATATAATACCATGCTCCTGACTGCTCTGCAGCTGCATATTGTAAAACTCAAAGCCACTGATCAGAAACAAAAGCAGTAAGTCAGTAACAGCTTTACAGAAATGTTCTGCTGGGGTGATTATGCCTGGCAAAAACCTCTATAGGGGAAAGACTGTTTACAGACATATTTCATGTCCTTTTTCCCCTAAAACACTCTGCAAGCAGTTGAACCTTTTTCTAACAACAGATAAAGCAACTTTTGCCAGAGGTGTAGTTTATGACTATATGAATACTGGAACAAGCAGGGAACCTGTTCAAATAGTTAGGCAACAGTTACAACAAAAAGCCAGAAGCAGTCATATTTTTATCATCTGTTATAAAAAAATATTTCCCAATCAGTGTCTCAATACAGTTAAAAGTTAAAACCCCTCTACATTACTAATAAATTAAAAAACACTATCTCCAACCATCTCGTAAGAAAATAGGTAAGTAATTTAAACCTTTAGTTTACATAAATTAGCACAGAAATGTGTATTCAAACAAGTGCACTGAAAACAGATATGCCTTCTTTTCTTCTGATATCTCTTATTTAAGTTATTAAGTAACAGGAAAGCCTTTATATTCTTTGCATGACCTTGAAAGTCTGCTAACACTAAATGGTCAATAGTCAAACCTCAGGAGAATGTTTCACCAGATAGACAATGACAAGAGGGAGCATGAAGTACAATCAACTGCTTTGCAGCCTTATTACCACACACTTCAACATTCCATGTCAGCATATTTACTCTTGGGGATGAAGGTAATGTATTTATATGGAAAATCACATGACTAAAATTTGATGGGTTGATAGAATTTTTTTTTTAAAAGTCTGTTAAAGTATCATTTTTTTCAGAGGTAGTTTGCAAGGCAATAGTGATGTACATGAGTGGAAACAATACTCCTTTGCTTGACTATAGATAAAACTCTTAAATAGTGCTGGTGCTTTCTCTGAACCTCACAGAGAACGCTTAATGGGTAAGATGTTATAATTGGAGCTGACAACAGCCAATTAAGTGTCAGAAGAACAATCTGATAAGTAGGTCTTCATGTCTATAGGCATTTCCTGATATGTCTTAACTGTCAATCTGAATGTTACACATTTCTATCTTTATCTCATTATTGACTGATTTATTAAAGGAGAATGCTTTCATCTCTCTTTTTGACTTTGGGGTTGCTCCGGAAAGAACTAAAGGAAAATACAAGTCTAAATTTGGAATAATAGATGGGGAATCCTAATTATAGCAAAGTCCTAATCTTCCAACTGAGCAGGCGCATGGTTTGGTGACACCACTCCATGCAGCTGCCCACACCGTACCTTTCAAGAAGAGGAAGGTGCTCAGGCTAGAGGAGATCTGTTTCTTTAATGGGTGGAAGGATATCTGTGGACGTGCTACCAGGCTGCTCTCTGCTTTCAGTGCTTCTTGCTAGTCATACGGAAGACAACACCTCGCTGGATGGATCTCTTCCCTTCTTGTCCTCACCCCTGTCGATATCAATCACATGAACTATGCCAGGCTTCAGGATCAGGTCATCGGTCTCTACATGGCTCCTGTTGTCGTCCACCTCGATGTACTTGCCCTTGGAAGGCTGGGTAGCCTTACCAAAGACGTCTTTGAAGCGGCGCTTGAGCTCAACGTCTGGGCAATAGACGTACTCATACAGGGCACCGGCAAGGACTGCTCCGATTATTGGTCCCACCCAGTACACCTGCAAAAGAAGAGGTGGAAAAAACCCCAGGCAATAAGCTTTTAAATTAACAGCGAGAAGAAGACTGACAAACAGGCCCACTTCTTCAAAGTGAAATAATTTTCTCAAGTTTTATTGATCTATCTCTTTACAAGAGGCTTATTCTAATCTTTTCATCACTCATTGCCAGCTATAGACCACAAATATGGACCCTTTGCAAGAAGACACTCATAGGAAACACCAATGTAGAGAAGTAATTTTCTTTTTGCATTTTGAACCAAGATGACAATGACCTTTCAAGGGAAAAAAGTCCCTTCTAGTGTACACACAAACAATTCTGCTTCAGTATTTCAGACTTATGTTTCCAAAATATTTCAAATTTGGCATTTGGTCCTACAGAATACAACAGGCAGTCAACCACAACAGGCAGTCTGATAATCTAATTTGAATAAGCAAATACAATGGACATAACACAACTCTGTAGGTACCTATCTATTTCATCATGACAGACAGCAGTGCAATAACATTATTAGGTGCCAAAGCCCACAGGTTCTTGTTGATGGCATGCCAGTGTCACTGCTCTGGAGGAGGAGAAAAGGCTATTTTTCCAAGTGGCCAGGACAGTAACTAAGCTTCTCCTGAAAGTTTCTCCATGGTATATTTGTTTATTGTTTATAGCTTTAGTTACAAATTACAGGCTTCCTCAGAGTATGGATAATTAATCTTGTGAAAAACTACAGCAGTTTTTCATATGAACAAGCCATTCACTGATAACTGGGTAAATCTGCCTCAATAGGATAACTCTTGGGAACAAAGTTACACATGGTATCGTGTTTGCAGAATTGAAGCCTTAGGGCCTGAAGACAATGCTATTTCTATTATTAGCTGCAGTGGGAGCAATGTGGGCTTCATACTTTAAAAATCAAGAAAATCCTTATATGCACTCTAATATGCAGCTCTTCCAGTTAGCACTGAAAAGTGTCCCTAGAAGTGATTTCCCTCTCTATAATTAGGTGAGTTTGAGCTGTGATCCATCTCTCCCTTATAAAATATGAAATGTTTTTTTGTAAGTTGGCTTGTTGGATGCTATAGAAATTTACTGCATCATTCACAGCCTGCTTATAATGTTGTTTCCCGTGTAACTGCTCCTGGCTAAGCTGACACTTTCAAACTGAAGCAGGTAACATCTGGCCTGGTCTGCAAATACCAGACTGCAACCTCTTCATCTCTCACTGCAGGCATTTGCAGAGGCAGGTTCTCCCCCAGGAACCAGATCACAGAGGGTCCCTGTTCTCATTTTATACATCTGCCCCAATTTGCTGCAGAACCAGGTGAAATGTGAAGTTAACAGAATTACTTCCATAGCTCTTCACCAGCATGACCAGCGGGGTTTGCTATCTGCCTTGGAGGATTTTTCTTTCCAGCAGTTCAGTTCTTTCAGTCTCCCTGGGTCGATTAGTATTTTTTTGTTGTTGTTGTTTTGAACTTTTCATATAATTTCCTTTCTACCCTAGCTGCTACCTCCACGAAATGGCCCCTGAATACTAAGATGCCATTTCAACATGCTGCATGCTGCACTGCAGTCCTAGGTGAGGATCATGATGATGCCTAAGCTTGGGGCAGGTCAGTGCCTGTCTTCCTCTGGGATGGTCTCTATGGGATGTCCTGGAAGAGATAACTGAAAGCAAATGATGTACGAAAAATCCTGATCACTGTTTGTCGCTATGATGAGGGAAGTATGAAAGGAGAGTTACCCATTGGTTTTCCCATCTGCCCATAATGACAGCAGGTCCGAATGATCGAGCTGGGTTCATACTGGCACCGGTGTAATTGATCTAAAGCAGAGAGAAAATGTTGTCTGTTATTAAAGTCTGGAAGGTAGTGATCCGATTTCTGTGGGACACTCTGGTTTTGCACAGCTCTTCCACTTTACAGCAGATATCATGACTCTCCTGAGTCTTAACACAAAGTCAAAAGAAGTCATCACATGAACAGCCAGAAAAGTTCTGGTGCAACACCCTAGCCAAGGGGACACTCCTGAGACTCCAAAGGGCTTTGGCATGGATCCATAAAGAATACAACAGCTATATAGCTGTAATTGCTCTAAAGGTCACAGAAGTTTCCATTTACTTCTGAAGTAGTCATAAAGGGTAAAGGGATCTATTTTTTAAAGAGAAACCATTAACTTACAGCAAATAAATGTCCAATTGCAACAGAAAATCCAATTGCTAAAGCTACTGAACCAGTGACATCACTTCGTTTTGAATCACAGCTAGCAAAAATAGTAAAAACCAGCTGGAATGTAATTATCAATTCCACCAGGAGTCCATGCCCAGCAGAAAGATCTCTGTGTACCTGGAAGAAGGCAAAGAAACACCAGAAATGAAGAAAAGATGATTTTGTAAATCAGAAAGACATCACATGCATAAATTGTATTTCAATGAATGGTATTTCTAAATAATACAAAGTGAAAGACAACAATGAACTTTTAGAGGTACAGATTCTCCCCTCTTCATTCTTATCCCTTTATTTTTTTTCTTAAACTTTAAAATGGTTCTTTATTTTGAAAGCCATGGAAATTCGCTGCTGAACAGAGAACAGAAGGATTAACATTCACATCCAACTGGAAGTTCAAAGTTAGACTGCAAAAGTATAGTTTATTTTTACATGGGGATTTGCAAATGCTGCACTTCCCTTTCACCATTTTTTTTTTCTTGGGAGCACTGTAATTTACTATTCAATTATAAATTCATTAATTATCCCTGACTTAATTAATTTAAATTTCAATTAAAAATTAAGCAGTGTGCGGCTGAAGTGCATTTTTAATAAGTCCTGCAACAGGGCTAACTGATGGCATTCCTTATTAGTTTAGAACAAAGCTGAAATCTAAGCCACAATCTATTTCAAAAGTATGTCATTTTAAATTGATGTTTTTTCAATCCCCATCATAATAGCATGGAATTAATTTCCCCCCTCCCCAGACCACATAAAAATGGCATTTCACGCATATATTATTTAAATTTTGTATGTAAATTAACATTACCTGCTGTCATCAGATTTGGGGAAGTTCTAGGAAAGAGAGCATCTCTAAAAAGAACAGCTATAGCTATTACACGGCATAAAACCATCCTAAGGAGAGCTTTAAGCCCTGTCTGGTTGTTGTAAATAAACCAGCAAGCCGTTAAAACCTGTACCTGAGCTCTCCTCATTCTGTGTGACACTGATTCTATTTTCTCAGGGTCTGAGCTAGCCTAGTTCAAGAGGCAGAGAAGTGATTACCGCAGTGACTCCCAGGCCGCCCACCACGCTGGGCGGTGTGACGAGGTAAAGGATGCCCGCGCCCACGATGGCTCCCAGGCACTGGGCAAGAATGTAGAAGATGGACTTGGCAAGACTGATCTTCCTCGTGCAGACCATTGCCACCGTCACCGCCGGGTTGATGTGGCCTCCGCTGATGTGTCCAAAGCACTGCACCATGGTGGCAATGCTGAGTCCAAAGCAGAGGGAGATAAGGACCATGTCTACGGGCAGGGGCTTCTCTGCTCCACCCCAGTTGATCGTGGAGCCGAGGCTGAGGAGGACAAAAATGAGCATGCCCAAAAATTCTGCCGAAACGGCTTTCCAGAAGGGCTGAGTCCAGACTCCTTTAAACGCCACCATAATCCTCTCACACTTACACAGACGTCCACACTTACTGAAAAGGAAAGCAAATCTTCATCAGAAGTCACCAAACAAACCTTACAGTCTCCTGTTAGGGGCTGTTCTTCAGCAGATCTCGGAGAGAAGGTGGCAACACTGAGTATCTTTGGGGTGGGACAACCACAGACTACACCCTTTAGAGCAGACTGCCCTTAAAACATGCCAAGTGTTGGAGTGTCTGCAGGACACAGGGTAATTAATCACTCCTTGTGATAACTCTGTATAGTTTCAGCTCCCAAAGAGCAACGTCTATGTATTTTGAAGTGATCATTAATTTAAGTGTATTATTCTACGCTAGCTGGCCTCTGATTTAGAGACTGTATAGCTCTACCACTTCCAGTGGCCTGTTGATCATCATATTCATTGAATCAGTGAGTATCATCTTTTTCTATGCAAATCTGTAATTTTCACAAAGTAGGTAAGATAATTCAATAAAAATCAGTATCTTAGTCAAAGTCTAGTGGTTTTGATGACAGTATAGTGTTGGGTAGTTGCCTTGAGAGCTAGAAGAGAAAGTTTATTTGCTTGAACACTCACACAGACCAGTATTTCAATTTATATTTATGCAAAGAGCAGTTTCTTCACTGTGGATGTTGGGTGAAAATTGAATTCAGGCAGGAGAATAGATGCAATCCTACATTCTGACCTTTAAATCAATCGTGTAATCAATAAAGTGCTTTATGTTCGGCTAATGGTGCCAATTGAGCTGGGGAATAGAGCAATATTTTCTGTATGTGTGGTGTGTAAAACTCTGCATGACAAAGAAAGTCTTGGCTTTTCTTCCTGTCTGGAGATGCTATTTATTAGTCTACACTGCCTTCCTGATGAGCTACAATTTTGCTAGATGTTCAGATACCTATGAAAGTGGGTCACCAAAGAAAAGTTATTTGTGGTATTAATAAATTAGAAGAATAAGCCAAAAGGGAAGCATTCTAATTAGTTTCTGAGGAATGCTCAAAAGATTCTTCTCTAAAAACAAAAGCAAGAAACATCCAACCCATCCAAAATGTAGAAAACAAAAGAATATTCAGCTGCTACATTTGGGAACAGAATTTTGAGTGGAAGACAGATGAATTTATGCTCAGTTATCTGAGGTAACTGAGCTACAATGCATATTTAATACCAGTTACATCAGAAAAGAAGCATAAAAGGCTTGTCTGCCCTTTTCAAGTCATTGCAAGAGGAATGGCCCATGAATTTCTTAACAGTTCCAGTGAGTTAGGGAAAAGCAATTTAATGCTGTGAATGGAGCAAATAAGCTGCTTCCCTAATTTCCTATGCTAACTTACTCTGTATTTTGGATAGGCCTTCTGAGCTCTATCTTAGTTCTCCATATGAGATGAGATAAGAACAATTACATTCTCTCCTAAAAATGGCTCTTGTAAAGTGCTTATGAAAGGATCTGAGACACTTGAATGAGACTTGTTCTAGAGAAGTGAAGCAAGAACCTCACAAGAGAATAAAGTAATACCCCAAATCTTTGGATTTTAGGTCAAACTCGAGATAAATGGAAAGATGTTTTTGTAAGATCTCATTTTAACAGTGAGTTAATGACCAACCATCTAGACTAGACCTTTTGTACAAAATAAACCCAAAATCATTGTCTCCCTCAAAGCTGAAGCTCCAGGCTGGCTGTTCTTACCTTTGAACCCTATTCCCAGATTCACACTGAAACTTAAAGGCTTACTTCTGATTCCCTTACTGCTTCCTCACTAATAATTTATCTTAGTGACCTGAGTAAGACATAGGTGCTATATTCATCCTGAGAAGAGTTCATTTTCCCAGTTCCCTGGGCATGTTCCAGGTGAACATAGGGATGACACATATAGTGAAGCCCACGGAAGAGAAACCTGAGACCTGGGTGCACAGAGAAGGGAAGCAGCACTCATCTACTCTTTTATCCCTCAGCTCAGCTGGGATATAACCTGGATTTCCCTGGTGCAAGCCCTGGTGTTATATTCAAGTTTTGAAAAAGTTCTAGCCACCAAGGGCACTATGGTGGGAATGTAGGTTTATGAAGCATGGTGGCTCCTGATGTCTTTGTTCAAATGTGTCTGACCATCTCTTCCTGTACTCAGAGAACAGTGAGATCAGCAAATCAATGACACACCTTCATCCTGTAAAGTGGACAGAAAAAGGTGTTTGTATTTGGCACTAAGATCGTGCAGCTGGCTTCTCAACAGTTGTGGAACATCTTAGAAAATCACCTTAAGAGTGGGTGTCTGTGTGTGTGTGTGCACGTGCATGTGGAAAATCACACCTTCCACTGGACTGCTGGTGGGCCTGACTAGAAGGGGGCTACCACTTATGAAAGACAGATCTCATGTTGTTTCTCTAGCTGAGAGCATGTGTAGTCAATTCAGTCTTTTGCAGCCCTGAAAATGCAAAATTGCTGCATGCAAGCCAAATGCTTTAAACACAAAAGCTGGCTCATCAACATAAGTTTTTGTTTTTCTAGAACATCATGCTACCTAGAACTCTGTCAGCCATATTGACAGTTAATTATTTAAACACCTATTTTTAATCCATACCTGTTTTTTTTAAGCAGTCTTTTTTTCTATGATTTCTACACCAGGCAAAATGCTCAGCTGTCAGGGCCAAATTTTTCTTGTAAACCGCACACCTTTCCTTCCTACAGCAAAAACCCCCTATAAATGTTAATAAAAGCTTAATACTGTATTTGAGACCTGAGCCTAGGTTTTCACCTAAATCCAAAGGCAATCAGCAACTTAGAAATCAAAACCATCTCAAACATCCACTATTTGTTCAGCATGCAGTTGAATTTAAAGGCTGGAGATGAGACAGAGTGATGGCTGTGTGACGGGTCTGAAACTGATATGGGACATCTCAGCAGCTAAGAGATGTCATCAAAGATTTGTCATCAAAGTTGCAAAACAGTTTTTATTTTGAGTAGTTGTTCATGTTTTCCTTAGATAAATTCAAAATATAACAGAAAAACACTTTCATGTGATGGCCACACATTAATTTCACATGTGGCCCCACTGGAAATTCTCCGGTCTGGGCTACAAGATTACACAGTAAATTGTGTCTGATAGGATGCAAGGTGGGTTTTGCAGATCATGTTGCCAGAAGGGCTTCAGGTATGGTTATGGCTCCAAAGGCATAACAATATAAATCATAACAAAGGTTTCGATACAAAAGTCAAAGAGTATTTTAAAAAGTCTTCATTTCCTAACTTCAAGGAGCAGAGCACACATCCTGGTCACAAGCTTGCAGCCAGACACTCCACACGACACTGCTGTCACACACAAGTTCTGTGCGTGCGGTGCCTATTTACAGTGGCATCCCTGCAGCAAACTCCCACGCTGCCCGAACTGAGCCCGCACCGCCGGCTGGAGCTCTAATGGACATCGGGCACCTGCCGGCCAACTTTGAGGGAGGAGAGCGACAGGTTACTGTTGCAAAACCAATGCACTGTCGCAGGGCTTGCTTGTAACCATTTTGCCTCATTTTCCAAAAAGCTGATAAACGAGCGACTGGCATGGCACCTACAGGAGGTGAGGAGCCTCGGGAGCCCAGTACCGCAACTTTTCCGCTCTGCGGTACCTGGGCTTTCTCCACACGCGGCTCTCCACTGCAGGACCGCAAGCGGACAACAGAGTATTAACACGCGGGAAGAGAGAGTGAGTTTGCTTCTTTCTGCACCCTTCGCACCTCTGATGGTAAAACTCCAGAGCGAGCGATAGGCTCCAATAGTGTCTTCGGGAACACGGAGCTGCTGCCTGGCTGCCATCCCTCGGTGCAAAACGCAGAAGGGCAACAACGCGGAGCCGCACACCTGTCTGCGCACTCCTGCCGGGGCCGGACAGTCCCCTCCCGTGACCGCCCACCCCCCTCGCCCAAGCTTTCCCATAAACTCGTCTCTGGTCTGGGGGGGCTGTCCCCGTCCGCCTGCCAGTCTCCTGGCTGCCTGTCTCCTGCCTTCCCTCCCTCTCCCGCTCCGCGCCCCGCGCAGGGCCGCGCACTCACCCGCGGCGCGGAGCGGCCGCTCCGTCGCTCATGCCTCCCCGGCGGGCGCGGCTGAGCGGCGGGGCCGGGGCGGGGGCCGGAGCCGGAGCCGGAGCCGGGGCGGGGGCCGGAGCCGGGGCGGGGGCCGGGGCCGGGGCCGGGGCGGGGGTGGGAAGGCTCCCCAGCGTGCGGCGGCCGCGGAGCGCTGCCCTACCTGCTGCGGCACTCGAGGAACGGCCGCCGGAGCCCCGGCTGCGGGTCGGCTGCGGTCATGTGCCTCTGCACGGCAAGGCAGGGGGGTCGCGGCTGCCGGGCAATGAGAAGCGGGCAGCGCCGAAGCGACAGCGCTGTGCTCCTGCGGCGCGGGGCCGCCCGGCAATGGGGAGGACTCAAAGGCTTCTTAGTTTCTTCTCTGCCACTCACTGTATTGAAGGGGAAAAAAGCCCTAGTAGCGCAGCAGCCAGGGAGTTTTATCCGTCTAAAATACCTATTAGTACCTTACTAGAGCTCTACTGGTTACAAAACCATAGAATCATAGAATATCCAGAGCTGGAAGAGACTCACTAGGATAGAGTCCAACTCCTGGCTCTGCAAAAGACTGCCCCAAAAATCACACCATGTGCCTGAGATCATTGACCAAACACCTCTTCAGCTCTGGTGCTATGACCACTTCCCTGGTGACCCTGTTCTATTGCCAAACCACTCTCTTGGAGAAGAACCTTTTAGTAGTGTGCAACCTAAACATCCCCTGACACACCTTCATGCTGTTCCCTCGGGTCTTATCATTAGTCACCATAGGGAAGCGATCAGTACCTGCCTCTCCACTGCCTCTCATGAAGAAACTCTGGACTGTGATGAGGTCTCCCCTCAGTCTTCTTTTCTTCTGGCTGAACAAGCTAAGTGACCCCAGCCACTCTTCATATGGCTTCCCCTCTAGGTCCTTCACCCTCCTTGTAGTCCTCCTTTGGATGCTTTCTAATAGCTTTATATAATTCTTATATTGTGTTGTGCTTGTTGAAGTTGC